CTGATGGCAGTTCCTGGACTGGGTGAACACCCAAACACGGCAGGACAAATCCATTATATCTAAAAGCATAGAACAAATTAAGAAAGAAGGGATAACAGACTAATAGACTACAATGCTACTCTAAAGAACAAACAGGGGGCTAGCATTGTGGCTTAGAAGGTGAAGCCTCTGCCTGCAGTGCCGGCATCCCATTTGGGTGCTGGTTCAAGTCCTGGCTGCTCCACTTCCTATCTAGGTCCCTGATAATGCACCTGAGAAAGCAATGGAAGATGGCCCAAGTGCTTGGGCTCCTGAACCCACGTGGGAGACCCTGAAGAAGCTCCTGGCTTTTGGCTCCTGGCTTTGACCTGGCCAGCTCTGGCTGTTGTGGCCATTTGGGAAGTGAACAGGGAAAAAAAAAAAAAGCAAATAGAAAAGAATCTCTTTTTAGGGCTATGTTAATATGCTTTATCCTGGCCGGAGCAGCTCAATAGGCTAATCCTCCGCCTTCGACACCGGCACACAGGGTTCTAGTCCCAGTCTGGGCACCGGATTCTGTCCCGGTCACTCCTCTTCCAGTCCAGCTCTGTGCTGTGGCCCCGGAGTGCGGTGGAGGATGGCCCAAATCCTTGGGCCCTGCACCCGCATGGGACACCAGGAGGAAGCACCTGGCTCCTGGCTTCGGATCAGCGCGGTGCGCCGGCCACAGCACGCTGGCCACAGCAGCCATTGTGGGGTGAACCAATGGAAAAGGAAGACCTTTCTCTCTGTCTCGCTCTCTCACTGTCCACTCTGCCTGTCAAAAAATAAAAAAATAAAAAATATGCTGTATCCTCCTTATTCTTTTAATATAAAATAATCTGACATCATAACCATGTCATAATTAGCAACTCTTTAAAATTTTAAACTTTATTATTTATTTGAAAGGCAGAGAAAGAGAGAGAGACAGAGAGGGAGAGACAGAGATTGATTTTCCATCTGCTGGGTCACTCCCCAAATGCCTGCAACAACCACACCTGAACCATGCTGATGTCAGGAGCCCAGAACTCAATTTGGTTCTCGCATGTGGGTGGCAAGAACCCAAATACTTGGACCATCAGCCATTGCTTCCCAGGGTGGGCATTAACAGGAAACTGGAATTGGAAGTGCAGCTGGGACTTGAACCCAGACACTCCATTATGAGATACAGCCATCCCAGGCAGCATCTTAACCACTAAGCCAAATGCCCACCCCATCAACTCTTACAAATCTTAATTAGGAGTAGTACCTTTCTGAAAGTTGCATAATCTTTTCAAACTCCCTTGAATGTTCAGCAACTGCCACAAGGGCCATAACGTTGACCTGAAAGAAAAATAAAAGAATGGAAACCTAGATAATATATACATTTAATATAAATTAAATGAAACTGTATGGTTTTCTGTGCATTTTTAGTTATCTTTGCTTACCCATGCTCCATCAATAGAATCATAATGGCTACCAGTGAGTACTTACTGTGCTTCAGGCCCTGTATACAGTAACTATAACCTCATTTAATGTACACAAATCTATGAGATAGGCACTGTTATAATCCACTGTGGATTATAACAGGAGACAGAGGTTTTTTTTTTTTTAATATTATTTATTTGAAAGTCAGAGTTACAGAGAGAAGAGACAGAGATAGAGGAAGAGATTGTCCATCTGCTGATTCACTCCCCAAACTGCTGCAATGGCTGGGGCTGGAGTTTCATCCAGGTCTCCCACGTGGGTGCAGGGGCCCAAGCATTTGGGCCATCTTCCATTGCTTTCCCAGGTGCATCAGCAAGGAGCTGGATGGGAAGTGGAATAGCTGGGTCTTGAACTTCCCATATGAGATGTCAATGTCGCAGGCTGTCACTCCCCGTCTTCGTGGGGGAACGACACAGGACCCTGCCTAGGCTTCATATCCGAGTCACGGCACCATTATGTCGCTCCCCGTCTTCGTGGAGGAACGACACAGGAACCTGCGCTGTTCTTTTGTCTGCTCGGCCCTCCCCGGGTTTGCTGCTGGTTCTTCCCGGGTTGGCTACCGTCCCTTCCACCTCCGTGGAAGGGCGGTTCCCCCTGGCCACTTTCCCCACTTCCGCGGGGGAGCGGCACACCGCCGGCCGGCTCTCTCGGGGGCTGCACAGGTGTTCCCTCAGATGTTCCCCTTAGATGTTCCTGGTGCATGTTGTCTCTCTCCTCCTTTATAGTCCTCTTCCACCAATCCCAACTCTGCTACCCACATGCCGAGTATGCTGCTCTCCTTCAATCAGGAGCAGGTCCTACAGTTTCTTGGTTGAACTGGAGGCAGCTGCGTAGAAGCTGTTACTCCCTTCTCAGAGCCATATTGTGAGAGAGCAGATGCATAGAATAAGTCCTAATTCCAGTAACTTAGTCTAGTCCAAGTTGCTCCCCACAGCAGGCAGCAGCTTTACCTGCTATACCACAACGCTGGCCCCAAGAGACAGGGTTTTGAATGGAATCAAATAACTTGCTCAAGGTCATTAGGCTTGTTATCTACAAAGTCCACCTCCTAATTAAGCGGCCACAGTGAAAGTTGGCTATATATAAAAATGTACTAGCAATGATTTCTGACTCTATCACTTTCTGGGAAGACCATAAAATGATAGTTACAGTGAAGTTTATAAATGCTTCTTAAAATAAGCAATTTGTTTCCAGACAAATCAAAATGTTTCAGGAAACATTTACAATATATCCAAGGTCTTCATAACAATGTGAATCTAAGAACTGACAGATGGACTGATCCATTTCATAGTTTGGTAGGCACGGTGACTGTGGGGACACATTTTGAATTCAGACTAAACAGCCTCTATCACTTCATAGCATGTGTCGCTATGTCTAGGTCCTTGTCTCCTCATAGATCAGCGGGGAATGGTGGGCTACGAAACAGTAACTTCCTCAGAAGGTTGTTGTGAAACATTAAATGGGATAAAGTTCAGAAAGGGCTGAGCTCAGTGGCTGGCACACTGTAAACATTTCACACATGCTTATTATTGACTCCTGAAACAACACCAGCATAGTATTTCTAAACTTCAAGTTCTTTTTACCTTGAAATTATAGAGAAAAGAAAGGGCAATTACATGAACTTACCTTCTTGGCTTCCTCTAACACATCATCCAGATCCTAAGACATGTAGAAGTTATCACAATTACTATGGATGCAAAAGTAACTGTGTATATCAATGTATATGATAAGGCGCCACAGCAAATGACAATGACAGCAAGGAACAGGGTGTCAGAATGTGAGGACTCTACACCGGCCCACCTCTTATACTTTTAGTTTCACTAAAGTCTGGCTTCTGTTCTCCACTGAAATAGAAACCTCCACTCTCAAATATAAAGGACTTTGCTCTATCTTCCTCCACCCATCAGCAGTATTTGAAACCACTCACTTGCTTATTTCCTCCTTCTTGAAGTTTTTTCCACTTTGAGCTTCTGCAACATCACTCTAACAGCTACTTTTTAGTCTCCTCAACTGGCTGTCCCTCCTCTTTCTGACTTCAGGACCATCTGCTCCTTTCTCTACTCTTAATGTAAGTGGTCTCTCCTGTTGTTGCAGGTTCAAATGTCATCATGTGGATTCCCCAATTTTTACCTCTAGCTCCTAACTCTCTCCTGAACCCATGATTCATATTTAAAAATAACTAGACCTATGACACCTCCACTTGGATGGGATCAGATTCCCCAACATGTGCCAAACATAAGTGTTTATTTTCTCCCCACAAATCTATTCCTTCTGCCTACCTCGCCACCCCACCCCAAACCTGTCTTTCCTTCCCTCACCACCATCTTTCTATAGCATAAGCCAACATTCTGAGTCATCCTTGCTTCCTTACCTTAGCTCGTTACAGTAAATTCCCCAGCATGTACTACGTGTTCTACCTCTTAAATATATCCTGAATCCACTTCAAACTCCTCTGCTATCCTCATGGTACCAACCACCACCATCTCTTGTCTGTATATTGCAAAAGCCTACTAATGGGTCTTCTAGCTTCCAGTCCTCTCCTCTATTTGCCCCACAGCAACAAAAATGGTCTGACAATGGTTACCAGACTTTGTCACTCTCTTTCAAAACCCCTTTAATGGATCTGCACAGTGAGTCTAAGGCAAACTCCTTCCTGACCCACCTCCAGTATCCCCTGCCAACCTCTCCAGACTCGTTTCATGGCTCTCTTTCTAGCTTATCAGGCTCATCCAGCCTTTCGGTACCTGCAGTGTGCCAGACTCTATGCTGTCTAGATCTGTGAACTGTTTGCTTTCCTCTCCACCTCATCTCCGTCTTGGTTGGCGGTTCGTCTTCCCAACCTTAAGCGGCCCCACCTAAGAAGTTTTTCCCCTAAAAGTCACAGCCGGTCTTCCTTCTCTAGCACCAAAGTGGCGTGAAACACTTTAATTAGTGGTGTGTGTGAGTCTTTTTGCGCACCTCTCTCCCGCATTAGAAACGGGGGCGACAAGGTCTAGGAAGGGGAAGCTGCTGCTCAGCCAGACGCTGAGCGGCCTGAAGGGATCAACAGCCGGGGCCCGGGCATAGGGAAGAAGATGCCAGGTCCTGGAAGCCTCACGGAGACAGGATGCGTCACCGCTAACCAGGATCAGAAAGAAAAATTGGTATGACCGAGTCAAACGGGGAATCGGCTAGATCCCAAAAGGCCACAGACCAAGGGCCTGGGGAGAATTCAGGGCTCCCTTCTAAGGGAAGAGAGAAAAAACACTCTGAGGGGGAAAGGATGGCGGCCTCCCCGCTCCCTTGAGCCCCGCCTCGCCCTCACGTACGTGGTCAAAGTCGGGGGCAGAGAGGTGGCAGTGACAGTCCACCAAACCCACGCCCGCCGCCCCCATCGCCGCTGCTGCACCCCGGGCCTAACCAGCTCCCCAAGCACGCCGGGGCCGGAACGCTGCGGCTGTGGCGGCGCGAGTTTCCGCCCGGGCGCGTGTTCCTTCGAGCCGTGGGAACCCGCCTTTCCGTTCCCAGAGTCCCCGCCCACAGTTCAAACTAGAAAAATGGCGGGGGCTCCTGAAGCTGTGGTGGTCGGACCTCCGCAGGACGAAGAGCTAGTGGCCGCCACAGCCAGCCATGCTCCGGTCCCCGGCCCTTCCCGAGAGGACTTCCGGGTGCGCTGCACCTCGAAACGGGCCGTGACAGAAGTGCTAGAACTGTGCGGCAGCTTCATGCAAAAGCTCGGAGATGCGCTGCCGGAGGAGATTCGGGAGCCGGTGCTGCGAGACGTGCAGTGGGTACGAGCCGCGTTTGCTGCCTTTTTATTCTCACCTCCTTCCCCACGCCCGGGGTCTCCGGGCTCAGGAAGACCCCACGCCAGGCTTCGGCAGAGTTAATGGTGCCCCGGGCTGCTGCAAAACGGGAGGACGAAATAGATGCTAATGTCAGCCGAGTATTGTTAATTACTTAGGGCAGGAGAGCTCCGTGTATAATGTTTATGTTGAAGGAAGGGAAAACACAAAACAGGTGAAATTATTGAAAGAAAATAACTGAACCCAGGTAGCTCCAGGGTGCCACTTGGACATGTAATACTGTACAAAATAATACGATGTTTTACGTTCTTTGGTTTGAGTTAAGCTTTTCCACATGTGGTGTCAGGGGAATCCTGGAAGTCAGTCACCCTGCTAGCTTCTGGTCTTTCCCTTTGTCTGGCTTGGATCTTCTTGTAAACAGAGCAAAAGCATTCTCTACCAGTCTGAACTCGATAAAGAGGATGTCTTGGTTATAAACGTCACTAAGATCACATGTTGATCCTCGTATTTCCTCTTCCTTTCTCAAAGATTTTGCAAAGCTTAGAAAACGGTAGGTTATTTGGGGAAAGACACAAGAAACTGAGGGATTGGTGCCTGTATAAGAAAGTGCACTATTTGCATGTAGGCAAAAAGTGTAAAGTTTATAGTTACAGTGTAGCGCAGTGCGTTTGTGGGTGTGAATGACTCCTCTGTAAACAAACGGTGAGAATAGAGGCCAAATGGAAGAAGAATGAAGAAACCCACCCGGGTTGTGATTCTGTATTCCAGTTCGAATGTCAATGGCTCTTAGATAATTCCCTCCTTGGCAGCATGATGAGAATTGAGATATACCTCAGATATATGTAGTGTGGGGGGAGAAGACTGTTGTGTTGTCTAACGGTATACTATGTCCTTTCTTAGGGAGTGCTAAAGTACTTAAAACATTTAATCACAGAAAAAGAGCATGCTTAACCTAATATATCCTATTTTATGTGATCTTAAAGTGGATTAGAAGATATCAGTGGAATTCATTTGTGTTTTAAACAAAGGGGTAGATATAAGGCTTTGATTATACCAGTGTACCTTTTTATCTAAAGCTGTATAATGAGCATAGCAGCATATATTTTTTAAAAAGTATTGAAGCAGGGCCGGTGCTGTGGCACAGCAGATAAAGCTGCCGCCTGCTGTGCCGGCATCCCATATGGGCCCCCGTTCGAGTCTCTATTGCTTCGCTTCCAATCGGCTTTCTGCTGTGGCCTGGGAAAGCAGTGGAGGATGGCCCAGGTCCTTGGGTCCCTGCACCTGTGTGGGGGACCCAGAAGAAGCTCCTGGCTCCTGGCTCCTGGCTTCAGATTGCCATAGTTCCGGCCATTGTGACCATCTGGGGAGTGACCTTTCTCTCTCTCTCTCTCTGCCTCTCTCTAACTCTGCCTTTCAAATAATAACTAAAATGAAAATCTTAAAAAAAAAGAAGAAGTATTGATGCAACCATGCAATATTACCAAGACAGTTTGCATTTTCAGATAATCCTTGAAAACCCATAAAGTAGAAATTTTACTTTATAAAATGTAGGATTTGTATCTTAACTCATAGCTATCAATCACTTGATTTATGCTTATTTTTAATCATACAGATGGTACAGAGTGCATGCTCATTATAGAAAAGTCAAACAATAGCCTAGAACAAAAGTCTGCTTCGAATTCCCCTTCCTCATCCATATTCCTAGAGATAACTTAGTATTTTGGAGAGTAGTTGGGGGCTGTAAACCTTCTATACCCCTTTTTTGTTTTTGTTTGCTTGTTTGTTTACATTAATAGGGTCTTGCTGATGAATTGTTATCCAACTGCTATATGCTTTTTTTGTTTTGTTTTTGTTTTATTTATTTATTTTGAAAGAGTTCCAGAGCAAGAGAGGGAGAGAAAACAAGTGAGCGAGCACTCTTCCATCCGCTACTTCACTGCCCAGATGGCCGCAACAGCCAGAGCTGGGCCATGCTGAAACCTGGAGCCAGAAGCTTCATCCAGGTCTCCCACATGGGTGGTAGGGGCCCAAACACTCAAGCATACTTCTTTTCCCAGGCTGTTAGCTGGGAGCTGGATCGGAAGTGGAGCAGTTAGGACACAAAGTGGCACCCATGTGGGATGCTGGTATTATAGGCTGTGGCTTTATCCCCTGTATGTCATAATGATGGCCCCACATTGTTTTTTGATTTTTGGAGTTTTTTTGTTTGTTTTAGCCAAATATGTCTGGCTATTACGTGTTCTTCATTCTTTTTCAGTCCTACATGGTATGTATGTGTTGTTTAATTAATTTTCTACTTTTGGATTTATGTATTTTTCCCCTTAAAGTTTCATTATTGCAGAACTGAAGTGAATATTCCCATTAATCCTCTTTGTGTTAAGAGTAGTCCTTTTAAGATACATTGTTACAATGTACAAGAGACATTTAATAGTACTACCAAATTCCTTTAGTCCTCTTTTTTTTTTTTCTTTCCAAGATTTATTTATTTATTTGAAAGACAGAATTACAGAGAGGGAGAGGAAGAGAGAGACAGAGGTCTTCCATCTGCTGGCTCACTCCCCAGATAGCTGCAACTGCCAGAGCTGCGCTGATGCTGATCTGAAGCCAGGATCCAGGAGTTTCTTCCTGGTCTCCCATGCGGTTGCAGGGGCCCAAAGACTTGAGCCATCTTCTACTGCTTTCCTAGGCCAAAGCAGAGAGCTGGATCGGAAGTAGAGCAGTTGGGACTCGAACTGGCGCCTGTATGGAATGCCAGCACCACAGGCGATGGCTTTTAGCCACTACACCACAGCACCAGCCCCCTTGAGTCCTTTTTAAAATAATCTATTATGAACATTCTCAATAAAAATAGACTAGTACGGGGGGTTCCCCATGTGATCCATCACCAAGTTCAATAATTATCAAAATTTTCTTGCAATTTTTATTTCAAAGCAAATATCAGATTTCATGTCCTTGGATCCCAACACACTAGAGTATACATCTCTTAAAAAAATCGTTCTTTATAATGTAGGAATTAGTTTTATTTTTTTTTTTATATGAAAGGCAGAGCAATACACACACATATATACACACACACACACTCAGAGGGAGAGAAAGAGAGACCGATCTTCCATCTGCTGGTTCACTCCCTGAATGCACGCAACTGCTGAGGCTGGGCCAAACTGAAGCCAGAGCCAGTAACTCCATCGGGGTCTCTGATGTGAGATGACAGGGACCCAAATCCTTGAGTCATCACCTGCGCCTCCTAGGGTAACATTAGCAGGAAGCTGGATGGGAAATGAAGCTGGTGTTAAACCCAGCACATGGATTGCAGGTGTTGCATGCAGTGGCTTAACTGCTGTACTACAATGCCCATCCCCGTTTTATTTTAAGCATGTATTATTTTCCCTGTTGTTAACATTGGTATTCAGCAGCATATATGGTATGTGTACTCCTGAGATTTCATTAATCCCAAATTTGTTAGCTTTTATTTAGGAAGTACATTTTTTGTTTGTTTTTAAGAGTAATCTGAAATTTTGCATCATGTTTTCGCATAGGTAGTATGGTGACAATCATAGTTAAAATATAGGTAGAAATCATGATTGAAATGAAATCTTCATTGAAAAGAATAAGGACTAATAGGCCATTCTGCTGCTTTTCTTTATATATCCTCTGTCACAAATCTAATATTTTTGCCAAAATGTTTGCATTTAGTATTTAGTGCCTTGACAACTGTGAATTTATTACAGACTTTTGAATCAGCTGTGCAGGAGAATGTCAGCATTAATGGGCAAGCATGGCAGGAAGCTTCAGATAATTGTTTTATGGGTATGTGACGACTTTTTCCTTCTGATCATTTGAGTTATTTTGAATGCTGTTTTTAATCTCTATGTTCAGTGTTACTTCTTAAAAAATTCTCTATTAGGGAACTAAAAGGAGAAACCTAATATAGAAGATTTCTAAAGTCATAATCTAAGGCTAACACAGTTGGTACCTTGATCCATCTGGATTTGTGGCATTTTAATTGGGACTTTCATCTGACTAATCTTCAAACTACCTTTGTCAGTTTATCGGAAAATACTATTGAAGTATCCCCAAATTAAAAAACAGGCCCAGAGAATTCCTGTAATTTCTTGTGAAGCCAGTGGTATTTTTGCAAGTGATCCTTCGAGTAAATAGTGAAGTACCCTTTGAAGCTTGAAGTTTGTGTGAGTACCATGTAAAGGATGACATTACATATTTGCAGAAGGCTTCTTATTCTTAGTAAGACAGAACACTTTCTTGGTCTGAAGAAGAGTTGATTCTACCCTAACTGATGGTGTTGACACATTTTGAGAAACTGCAGTTTTAATAGAAACAGAATGGTTAATGTAGAAAGGAAACGATTTAGTAGAAAAGGAATGGTTTGTATGAGAAGAAAGGCAGAATTCCCCTGTGCTCTTACAGCATTGTACAGTGAAAGGTGATCCTAACAAAAGCTCCAGTGTCTGGCCTGTCCCCCTGGTGGTACTACAAAGATCTGACTAACATAGCTTGGTATCACTACTTGATTCCAAATTGTCCAGTTTATACCCTTGGACTCATTCCCAACCACGACACCAGGCAACCCTGTGTGGTTATAGTTTTTCTTTGCAACATTAAGATAATACTTTGCCCAGAAGAATTCATTGTCCCTTCCTTAGAACTATTGTATTTGTCTCTTCAAAGAAACGAAAAGTTACTTTTTGTTTTACATATTAGAGAGTAAAACAGCAACACTAGGGGCAGGCATTTGGCCTAGCAGTTAAGGCACTGGTGAAGATGTCCCATGTTAGAGTGTCTGGGCTCTGTGCTCAGCTCTTTTCCCTACTCAGACTTCTTGCTAATGCAGACCCTGAGAAGCAGGGTGATGGCTTAGATGACTGGCTTGCTACCACCCACATGGGGCATTGCCCCAGCCAGAGACATTGCAGGTATTAGGTAGGGGGTGGGGGGAGTGGGTCACGGATGGGGGCACTTGGATAGTTTCTCTCTCTCTGTTTTCCCCAACCTCTCAAATTAATTAATTAAAATTGAAGGCTTTAGAGGTATGTATTTGGCCTAGCAGTATGTTCTCAACTCTTAGTTTGGCACATCATAGGCACCCATAAAATATTTGCTAAAATAATAAGTAATCCTTCTTTGCTCAGATTTGTTTTTACATTTTAGTTTTGCAGCTATATCACAAGGTAGTGTCAAGAAATCATTTTATCCAACACACAAAAAAATTTAGCTGGGTGCCTTTTTTTTTTAACTGATTTTAAAATGGCACACTATTCTTTTCAGGCTAGTAGTTTCACTGTTTTGATGACTAGATTAAAATTCAGCCATTCAGGGTCTGCGCTGTGACATAGTGAGTAAAGCTGCCGCCTTCAGTGCTGGTATCCCATATGGGTGCTGGTTCCAGTCTCTGCTTTACTTCTGATCCAGCTCTTTGGTGTGGCTTGGGAAAGCAGTACAAGATGGCCCAGGTCCTTGGGCCCCTACCCCTACATGGGAGGCCCGGAGGAAGCTCCTGGCTCCTGGCTTCGGATTGGTGCAGCTCCGGCCATTGCGGCCATTTGGGGAGTGAACCAGCAGATGGAAAACCTCTCTCTCTCTGGCTCTCCTCTCTCTGTAACTCTGAGTTTCAAGTAAATAAATCTTTAAAAAAAAATTTAGGCCGGCGCCACGGCTCGCTAGGCTAATCTTCAACCTGTGGCACCAGCACCCCAGGTTCTGGTCCCAGTTAGGGCGCTGGATTCTGTCCCGGTTACTCCTCTTCCAGTCCAGCTCTCTGCTGTGGCCCAGGAAGGCAGTGGAGGATGGCCCAAGTGCTTGGGCCCTGCACCTGCATGGGAGACCAAGAGGAAGCACTTGGCTCCTGGCTTCAGATCAGCGCAGCGCGCTGGCTGTAGTGACCATGTGGGGGGTGAACCAACAGGAATGGAAGACCTTTCTCTCTCTCACTGTCCACTCTGCCTGTCAAAAAAAAAAAAAAAAAAAATCTATTTCTAGCATAGACTTTGATGCTACAGAACACATGTGATATAGACCATTTGAGGATCTTACTCTATTTTTACTGTTTAAAATGAATTTTTAAAAAATATTTATTTATTATTTATTCAAAAGGCTGAGTTACAGAAAGGCAGAGTCAGAGAGACAGAGTCAGAAAGTCTTATCCGCTGGTTCACTTCAGATGTCCACAACTGTTGGAGCTAGGCTGATCCAAAGCCAGGAGCTTCTTCTAGATCTCTCACGTGGGTCGGGGCCCAAGCACTTGGGCCATCTGGTACTGCTTTCCCAGGCCATAGCAGAGAGCTGGATCAGAAGAGGAGCAGCCAGCACTCCAACCAGTGTCTCTATGGGATGCTGGCACTGCAGGCAGTGGCTTTACTCATTACACCGCAGTGCTGGCCCCCCAGAATGATTTTTAAAAATAAAATTGCGTGGGTCATTTGCATTCATTTCATCTGAGGTCCTTTGTTTTTAGGCCCCATCCTAGAAATAATTTGATTCCTACTGAGTCAAATTTTATGTATTCCTAAAGTAATCTCATGTGATTATTCTGCTAATGTTTGACAATGACTGTTTTAAAACATAGGAAAGCATCTGATAAAGTAGATTTAAATAAAAAGAAACTCTAAAGTCACCATATCTTTCATTTTTTTCTTGCCATCTATCTAGTTGAGTCCTATTTCACATTCAGCTATTCCAAATGTGTTATTGTCACAGCTTTGATTCAGCATATAATAATGTTAAAATTAGTTAGGACCCTGATATTAAGTGCCCTTTATGGTCTAGTTCTTACATATTTTTATGCTCTTTCTTCCTTATGTTATCCTGCAATCATTTAGAACTTTTCTTTGTTTCCCAAAGACTTTATCATCTTGCAAATAGTTTCCTCTTCCTAAAATGCTTCTTCCTATCACTTTTTTTCTCTACCATTTTTGGTCCAATGGACTTAAATTTTATTTCAAGCTTAAGTGTTACTTCATTTTTAAATGTCTTAAATTCCCCAGGTAGAGTTAGTATTCTTTTTTAAAAAAATATTATTTTATTTATTTAAAAGAGTTACAGAGAGGGAGAGAGGGAGAGGGAGATGGGGAGGGAGGGAGGGAGAGAGAGAGAGAGAAAGAGAGAGAGAGAGAGAGTCTTCCATCTGATGGTTCACTCCCCAGATGGCTGCAACCGCCGGAACTGCACTGATCCGAAGCCAGGAGCCAAGAGCTTCTTCCGGGTCTCCGATGTGGGTGCAGGGGCCCAAGGAAATGGGCCATCTTCTACTGCTTTCCCAGGCCATAGCAGAGAGCTGGATCAGAAGAGGAGCAGCCGAGGCTAGAACTGGCGCCCATATAGGATGCTGGCGCTTCAGACCAGGGCTTTAACCTGCTGTGCCACAGCGTCGGCCCCCAGAGTTAGTATTCTAATAACATTTTGTTTATTCCTCTATTGCATTATCAGGTTGCTTTGCAATAATCTGTTTCTCCTATCTAACTATGAACTCTTAGCCAGCAGTGATTGTGTTACATTCATCTTTGTGTTTCTGTGGTTTAGACCCGACTTCCCGTAGGTACCTAATAACTTGTTCATTGAGTAAATTAATCCCTGAAGTGAGGGCTTCCATTACTTGCCATGTTTGTTTTCCTTAATCACTTGTTTTCTGAATTGTCATATTTCCATATAAAATAGAGAAAACAAATTTTAAGCAGTTTTTAGATGTTATTTTTTTTTAATTAGATTCTGACATCAAAAAACTTGAAGATCAGTTTGATGAAATCATAGTTGATTTAACAACAAAACGTAAGCAGTATCCCAGAAAGATCCTTGAATGTGTCATCAAAACCATAAAAGCACAACATGAAATTCTGGTAAGTTGATTTACGTTTAAAATGTGTATATTTTCTAGTTCTAAGTCATATTAGGTCTTGAGCATACCTGATGATAAAATTGAAATTGGAGTTGGAAGACTGACAGTTGACGTTGTCATTCTGAGATTAGGAAGGGAAAGGAAGTTTATCTTTTAACCTTTCTATTTGTTTTGTGTTTGGCACATGGTTTGTATATTTAATATGGAAGACTCTTTAGGTAAACTGATGGTGAAAGTTGTTTGACTACTTGTTCATAACACCAAAGTTTACTTTATAAATTGTGTGTAATTTGTTTTGCTTCAAAAATCCTAACCATCTTGTTCACAAGATCAAGAAGTCAGCCTCTGCAGCCTGAGCTTTTTAGACAAGTAGAGCCCTAGGTTTATAATTCCTGTAGATAAGGTCTTGACCAACCAAATCACCTCACCCTCTTTTCAAAGTAGCTTGAAATAAGTGCAAAATAAGTGAGTCCACAAGCAGGTTAGACTTAAATCTTCCCCGGTTGAGGAGTATGGAGGTTTGCTGGTAGTAGCATTGCTCCTTGGCTGAGAAACACATGATGCCTTGGATTTTGAAATTAACAGACTTTCACATACAAGGCAACTGGAAAGTTGCCTTCTTTTCAGGAATTGTTAGCATAATAAAGTCCAGGCTTAATACTTTCTCTAAAATATTTTATTTGTGATTTTATGAAGAAAAAATTTATAAGAAGCATGCTACATTCTTTCTTCCATATAAGTTAGTAAAGAAATATCCCCAAGCCTGCTTTAAAGTTTCTGCAGGAAAAACATTTGAAATGTATTTATTTTTCAGTGTTTCCCTCCTTACCTCCCTCCTCCTGAAACAAAACAAAAAACAAAAAGCCAAAGCTAGTAATCAGCATCATACAAAACAAAGAAAGCCGGCAGGCCTAGGTATTATACCAATGTGCTGGCTTAAAAAACAATGCAAAATGGATGGGGAAAGGATTCCAAAGAGCTTTTTAAATTATCTTTCCTCCTTCTTTAGATCTTTGACTCCTGTTGACTTCATGCAAGAACCAGAAGGCTTTCCTGTTACTTTTTGCCTGAGTGATAGAATCTGACAGTAGTTTTGCTTCTGTGGTTCCAGAGAATCACAGGATAGTATAGGCTCTAGTGTGCTGACATAGTTGCCTAGTCATTTTTTTTAAAGGTTATTTATTTATTTGAAAAATAGAAAGAGAGAGAGAGAGATCGTTCATCTGCTGATTCACTCCCCAAATGACAGCAACAACAGGGCTGAGCCAGATCAAAGCTAGGAACCAGGAGTTCCAACATGGTCTCCACGTGAGGTGCAAAGGCCAAGCACTTGGGTCATCTCTGCTTCCTTCCCAGGCACATTAGTAGGAAGTTGGATGAGAAGTGGAGCAGCCAGGACCTGAACCAGCACTTCGTATGGGATGCCAGTGTCATAAACGGCAGCTTAACTTGCTGTGCCGTGATGCTAGCAAGTTTTAGGATAGAGTTTCTATGAAAATATGCATTATGAGTTCTAAACCCTTATCTTAAATGAACCATGGAAGTACAATCCACTCATAATTTAGAGATCACCCTGTAGTTTAAACAAAAAATTCAATCTCTGTGATTTTATTTGCTTGATTACTTTTTCTGGTTTTTTAATGGTGCTATTTCTTAATGTATGCAGTAGGTGGCAGTAATATAAAAGATATAAGACAACTTAGTTTGGTCTGACCTTTTTTCCTCCCTTCCCTAAAGGTTTCAGAATGTGAGGGTTTTTTTCCCCCTTTCAAAGAATGGTACTATTGACTCTAGAGTATATTTGTTTACATTAGCTGAAGGAAATGTTTATTTGAGGGATTAAGTGATTAAATCTGTTTTGTGTTATGTTTAGAAGCAGTACCATCCTGTTGTATACCCATTGGACCTAAAATATGACCCTGATCCAGGTGAGTCAGTGTTAATTCATGGTAAAAAGGAAGCAGTGTAATGAAGCATATAATTTGCATGAATTTCTGATATTCTTCTGCATCAGTCAACACCAAGAGTATCTTCTCTGATGCTTAAGCTCACTATCCATATTAGATCTTCACTTAGAATTATGAGAACTTGCTGTAAACCTACTGACTCAGAATCTCCAGGGATGGGACCCTGGAATCTGAACTTTAAAATTTTTATTTATTTTATTTATCTGAAAGACAGCAATTTCCTATCCACTGATTCACTCTCCCAAATGCCTGCAACAACTGGGACTGGACTATGCTAAAACCAAGAGCCAGAAACTCAATCTGTGTCTCTCACATGGATGGCAGGGACTCAAGTACTTTAAGCATTAACCACTACTACTGCCTCCTATGGTGCATGTTAGCAAGAAGCTGGAATTAGAAATGGTAACAGGACTTGAACCCTGGCACGTTAAAAATATTATTCATGTGTTTATTTAGAAGGGAGAGAGAAAGAGCAAGAATCTGAAGCTTTCTCCTGACCTAGACTGTTGGAAGTCCCCACCCACAGTATAATAACTTCCCATGTCTAGATGCTATTACATGATGCATTCTTTGAATTACACCCAAAGTTACACTATTAAAGCATTGTCTCACTGTCACTTCTCAGTGCAGTCATCTTCATAGATTTCTCATTGTTAAAAAAATAAAAACTAAAGAGAAATTTGATGTTGAGCTTAAGAGATAATTACACTCATTATGCCTTTGAACGGATTTCTAAAACACAGAGAACTGAGATTGATACAAACATACGTGAATCATCAACAGAATTGGCATTGCTAAGAGTGTACATACGTATATTTTTAAATGGCTTTATTCTCACATTTTAAAATTTATTAAGTATTTTTCTATGAAACCTTTTAGAATTTGCCTTTGTTACTCAAAAATGCTACTCGTGAATTATTGAGGGAAAAACTGTTAAATGGTTTATTTGTATGGGATATTTGTACTTGTGACTTTGAGTACTTTACCTTTTTTGAACTACTTTTTAACTAATCTCCCACTCTTTTCCCCAAATCTCCTAAGCCAGTGGGATGAACATGGAGGGAGAAATAACAGCATTCACTGTGCTTGATTAAAGTTGACCCAGGACCTATGCTTAACCAGATGTCATGGTTCACTAAAAAGAGGTAGTTGCTAATTAGTGGTTGACATCTACTTATTTTGGTTTTGAACAACATAAAAAGAGAAATTGAAACTTGTAGTATCATGATATACTCAAGTGTTGCTTTTTAGACACTTAATTTTCTTCTAGAAACATGGTAACATTTTTATCTTGGAAAAACAGACTTACTTCAATGATCCTTTGAAGGTGGATATGATTTTACTTCCCACCATTCTGGTTATCTAGTTAGTAGAAAAATCTTCTGAATCATGATTCTGACTTCAAAAGTAAGCAAAGGCCGGTGCCATGGCTCACTAGGCTAAACCTCCTCCTGCGGCGCCGGCACACCGGGTTCTAGTCCCAGTCGGGGCGCCGGATTCTGTCCCGGTTGCTCCTCTTCCAGTCCAGCTCTCTGCTGTGGCCCAGGAGTGCAGTGGAGGATGGCCCAGGTGCTTGGGCCCTACACCCGAATGGGAGACCAGGAGAAGCACCTGGCTCCTGGCTTTGGATCAGCGCGGTGTGCTGGCTGCAACGTGCAGGCCGCAGCGGCCATTGGGGGGTGAACCAACGGAAAAGGAAGACCTTTCTCTCTCTCTTTCTCACTGTTCAGTCTGCCTGTCAAAAAAAAAAAAAAAAAAAGAAAAAAAAAAAAAAAGTAAGCAAAGGAATAGTTAGAATCTTTCTGGGGTAAATTTCGAGATTTTTGTCATTGTACATTTTCATAATGTTGACAGCCTTAGAATAGCATCAGCTCCTTAAAATTAGCAAAGTAATTTATAGTTGTTAACTTTGTATGCTTGGCCAAGTCACTTCCTTTGACCTCTTCTAACCTCAGTTTCCTTGTTAGTAAAATGGCAAATTCTAGACTTGGAACCTTATGCTTAAGGAGTTCCACCTCTGTCATCAAAATTTTTTTTTAAGAAATGTATCTTTTAATTCCGTCTTTCTAAGAACTTATTTTTTTTTAAAAATTTGTTTATTTGAGCCGGCGCCGCGGCTCACTAGGCTAATCCTCTGCCTTGTGGCGCTGGCACACCGGGTTCTAGTCCCAGTCAGGGCGCCAGATTCTGTCCCGGTTGCCCCTCTTCCAGGCCAGCTCTCTGCTGTGGCCAGGGAGTACAGTGGAGGATGGCCCAAGTGCTTGGGCCCTGCACCCCATGGGAGACCAGGATAAGTACTTGGCTCCTGCCATTGTATCAGCGCGGTGCGCCGGCCGCGGCGGCCATTGGAGGGTGAACCAATGGCAAAGGAAGACCTTTCTCTCTGTCTCTCTCTCACTGTCCACTCTGCCTGTCAAAAAAATAAAAAAATTTAAAAAATTTAAAAAAAGATTTGTTTATTTGAAAGGCAGAGTTAGAGAGGCATAGATGTAGGCGTAGGCATAGGTATAGGCATAGGCGAAGAGGTGGGGGGAGGGAGGGAGAAGTCTTCTATCTGCTGGTTTACTCTCCAAACAGCCTCAGTGGCTGGAGCTGGGCTGATCCAAAGCCAGGAGCCAGGAGATTCTTCCGGGTCTTCCATGTGAGTGCAAGAGCGCAAGGACTTGGGCCACCTTCTGCTTTCCCAGGCCACAGCAGAAAGTTGTATTGGAAGTAGAGCATCTGGGACTCGAACCAGCACCCATATGGGATGGTGTCACTGTAGGCAGCAGCTTTACCCGGTATGCTGCTGTGCCAGACCCTGTCACCAAATATTACAGATTGTTCTGCTTACTTATTGAGATTGTGCTATAAATCAAATGGATAAGGGATTCTATTTACTATATAAAAACACATAAGCTGTAGTTTGTTACGTATTATTTAATAACATAAGTCATATCCTACTTATAATAGTTTATATTGCATACTTATTATACACTTAACTGGTAAAATCTTTTTTAAAAAAATATTTATTTATTTGAAAGTCAGAGTTGCACAGAGAGAGGAGAGGCAGAGAGAGAGAGACAGAGCTTCCATGCACTGGTTCACTCCCCAGTTGGCCGCAACGGCAGGAGTCGTGCTGATCTGAAGCCAGGAGCTTCCTCCTGGTCTTCCCAATTGGGTGCAGGGCCCCAAGCATCTGGGCCATCTTCTACTGCTTTTCCAGGCCATAGTAGAGAGCTGGATCCGAAGTGGAGCAGACAGGACTTGAACTGGAGCCCATATGGGATGCCAGCACTGCAGGCAGCGGCTTTACCTGAAAAGAAGTGGATGAGTATGAAATTATATTTCAAAGGACTAATTTATATGAACTGTATATGAAGAGTTTGGTAAAGGAAAGAATCAAGGCTGCCTTTGGTTAAGCGCTGGTCCCATTAACTGGTAAAATCTTATGAAAATAACTAAAATGACTTAGGAGGAAAATGGAAAGCATAAATTTCTGTAGAACCTGAAATCTGAATAAGCTGCCTGGGAAAACTTTTATGGGAACTCCTTGAAGATCTTTTTTCTGTTGGAATATTAAGTGATATCAGATGTCTTGAAAGCTGATCCTTTTATAGAGGGTTATCTGGTTTTCAAATGTACTCCTTTGATTCAGCATAGTTATGTTAGGAGCTTTGGGAGATACAGAAATAAAGTAGGCAGATTCTGCTTATAAAAGGCGTGTATCTGAGTAGTGGAAATAGGAGCTAAACATAAAACAGGATTCTTTCATGCCTCCTAATTGGTTCCTTTCCCAGTTTTCCACATGTGAGTAAATGGTTCCTTTACCTGCATAATGCTTAACCAAAGGCAGCCTTGATTCTTTCCTTTACCAAACTCTTCATATACAGTCCATATAAATTAGTCCTTTGAAATATAATTTCATACTCATCCACTTCTTTTCATTTTGCTATTTTTAAAATTATTTCTTTATTTTTAAAGAAAAGATTTATTTATTTGAAAGGGAGTGGCAGAGGCAGAGGCAGAGAAAGAAATCTTCCATCTGCTGGTTCACTCCCCAAATGGCTGCAATGGCCAGGGCTGTGCCAATCCGAAGCCAGGAGCCAGGAGCTTCTGCCGGGTCTCCCACGTAGATGCAGGGGCCCAAGGACTTGGGCCATCTTCCATTGCTTTCCCAGGCCACAGCAGAGACCTGGATCAGAAGTGGAGCAACTGGGACATGAACTGGCACCCATATGGGATGCTGGCACTGCAGGCGGCGGCTTTACCCGCTATGCCACAGCGCTGGCCCCCTGTAAGCGTGGTTTCTACAAATGCTAGAAGATCTTCTGTTTCACTCTTGATCTTATTCATTCTACATACATTTAACAAAGGGATTTTTTTTTATTCTTTGAAATATTTAAAACATATAGGAAATACGTAGTATAACATAAGGAACGTCTTTGTACCTACCACATATATTTTAATGCTATTCATTTTGTCATACTTGCTCCAGAGGTTTGTAGGAACTAAAATATATGTATACATTTTGTCTTTAGGCTGTCTACCATTCCATTCTGCTCCTTCTTACTCAGAAGTATAACTGGGATCTTCAAGTTTTGTGAATCCTTCCTGTTCATGTTTTTATTTTTTAAAATTCTAATTAAAAGAAATTTTAGGGGCTGGCATTGTGTCGTAGCAGGTAAAGCCATTGTCTGTCATTTCCTTTTATTGATAAATAATATCCCATTTTATGGGTACATACTATTGAATTCATCTATTCATTAGTATACAGATGTTTTAAATTAAGAATTCAGAAAATTTGGTTGATAAATTTAATCAAGTGCAAAAACATAGTAACTATTATATTGTATTTTTTTAATAAGAAATAAATTTTTAGATGAAAACAGTAAGAGGGGCCAGTGGTTTGTGTCTCAGCTGCTCCTCTTCTGATCCAACTCTCTCTAATGGCCTGGGAAAGCAGTAGAAGATGGCCCAAG